TTTTATTTGTCCCAGACGGCCACATATCTCTCATACTAATTTCACAATAGATTAAATTTTTCGCAAGTCAAGTAGCCAATTCTATATTTTATATCAAAACTTGTTTCTTATAACAAAGAAATTTTGAAATTCCACTAGAAAGTAGAAACCATGAATCAATGTTTGCTTCCAGGAAAAAAATAAAAAATTCGATAGATTGTAGCATATAAATTGATTGGGTGAAAGCACTTTCAGTCTTCTTTCAGTGTTTAGGGTTCATACCATCCGCCAGAAACTGTGGCGGTTCATATCTGACAGATTCGATTTTACACATTCTGCATTGGTTTGTACTAAAAGTTGGTTTTTAAAAATGTAAGTTTTAAGCCAAAAAGTGCCTAGTGGCACCTGACTTTTGTGCTAAAAATCTAGGTGTCCACATTGTGCATTGGCATTGCCCTTATGATATTATTTTACAAAACACCTACAGAATCAAATGACATGTAAGGTGAAATATCGAACCACTCCGTTGAAAAATACATGCCATAAGAATGGTTAAATATTCAAGACTGTGATTTGCTCACAACAATATAGTGGATTGTTTACCCTGAAATAGAGTTGTTCTCTGAGAGACTTCAAATATTCAAACTAAAAGATTGATTAAATAGATCAAGTGAATAACCTGACACTAGATACAGAGAAAGTTGCAAATAGGGATTAGGGAGTAATACTTCCAAGACATCATCCATGTATGTTTAGAGTATTAGAACATCTTCAATGCATCCATAATTTTACGAAGCTACATAGGCCAAGCTTATAGAAAGAATAGCAAAATAACTCAAGTTATGTAACCAAAAACATCTTCAACGTTTCAATAAGCTTTCAGCAACTTGGTAGAGATTACCAATGCCGCACAGAACTAACAGTGTCGTGTGAGTTGGTTAAAAAAAATAACCAATCAGAATGCATTCAAATATGAGTTTCGTGTATTATTAAGCGCACACGACACTAGTAGTGTCATGTAAATGAGTTTTCTTTCCATAGTAAATGAGTTTATGGACTATAGATTTTAGACATCATTCCATAAATTTACAAAATTCTAAGTTTTATGGATGTATTGAAGATACTCTTAGTCCCTCATGGGCTGGCAGTTATATCACTCATGTTCAGCAGCTGTGGTGCCTCATTCGTGAGCAGGGGCCAGGGGAGCAGCTCTCTCAGCAAATTAGAACACAATAGAAAGAGAGAGAGGG